GACATTTTTTCCCCCGTTCTCATCGCGTAATTAAAGTTAAGGATCCTCCAACGTATCAAGTTGCGCATCAATCGCCAGCGCAAATTAGGGCTCACCATTTCCGTGACGGCGCCGCCATTGCGTTCAGTCAACACCCGAACGAGTTTGGGGCAAACTCAAACACGCAGGGTGAAACAACAAACTCAGCTCCGGAGCGCATAGATTATGATAGCGCATGAGTTGCTGTCTGTCAGGGCATTTGAATTTAAACGCAAACAATGAGCTGCTCACTCACCCATTAAGGAAACCCTGAGCTTAAGATGATGACGAAGCTCTTGGGCTAGGTAAACACTTGTTTGTTGCAAACGACTGAAAATATTGAAGCAGTATAAATAAAATTTTGAAGCTGCGGATGAGCAAATGATTAAATTATGAAATGCAATAAATTACACAAGAGAATTAATTATTATTATTATTATTCTTTATTGACTTATGAGACGTCGCCACGATGGAATTACTCAATGCGACGCGCCCCATTTGCAACATAGTACATGATAAGAGAGAAAAAAACAATATCACAATGCATTCATAAATTGAAAGAACTCTTTCCTATCAATTGAATTTTATTAATTCAATGTATCTGACGTTCCTTTTTTAGTTCCCACCGGAATTCTGTGATCGCTTGAACACCAGTTGTATGCAGATTTAACCATTTTCATTCTTATTTTGTTTATTTATTTCAATCAAGAAAATAATATAATATTGAAACCGCTTCATTATGAAAAAATTCTTATTTAGAAAATGCTCGTATGTTAAGAACAGTTAAGAATTTGTATTGTTTGTAAACAACATTTTTATGCTTATAATATACATTTTTTTTATTTTTCAAAATTAAAAACAACAAAAGCAGCAAAATATAATATTGAAATATTTTAATATTATTTTCATTTATTTAATTAAATTATAATTAATCTATTTAATGAATAAAAATATTATTTAAACATTTATGTTTTGCTATATTTATATTTGAATTAGGCAATTTAAGTATATTTAATTTATTTAAAGCAAAACACGTTTCCAAATGCATGTGGAAAAGATTTTCATAAAAAAGGTCAGATCGGCGGAAGTTGTTAATTGATACATGTATTTGAATTAATTTTAATAGCTAAATGCTAAATAAAGTGAAATTTCAATTCACCTAACATTTTAATAAAATACCTAATGCTGAGAATCGTAAAAACGATTGACACGGATCTGCATCATCGCAGTTTGTACAAAGTCTGTATAAATCCAAATCTAATCTACACATTTACAAAACATCATGCATTACAAATAGGATTCTTAGTCTGAGTTGTGCACTTGTGGGAATTTATCAATTGCCAAACCTTCGATGCACAATTTTCAATCAAGAAAATCTTTTTTTAAACGTATAATGTAATTAAAAGATTTTCTTTATTGTTATCCTAACTTTTTTATAAATATTTAATTATCATAAAAAAGTACGAAATCTTTACTTAGCCTCTGATTACTTTCTGAAAATTAAAATTTGTGAAAAACACATTAAAAATGAATTCGAAAGTTCCACAAGTTGCAAAGGATCTCTGTACAATTTGTTTAATATTTGAGGCAAAAACGTAATCAATTACAATAATTACACATCACGCTTGTTTCAAAACAAATGTTCTATTTGTTTGTTCAATGTTGACATTGAACTGTGTATTTTCTCTCCTTCTAAAAGTTTCTCAGAACAGCAATACCACCATGTACCACCATAATATATTGAAAACAGCTAAACAGAAAACAACAACAATAAAGAAACAAATTAATTTACCATAATCAACACAGTAAATATTTATTAAAATTTCTTTAGAGTACAAAACATTGCCAGAAAAAAGGCAAAAAAAGATTGATCTCAATTCAAAGTACATATATATGGGATAGATGTCACTTTCCATTTGACTAACAAACTTTGTGAATCAACCTTCATTGTAGTTTTATATACTCGTCAGTACAAGGACGTTGCCGGTGCAATCAGTCAATTCTTCTCGCATGCATTATAGTTTGCTATTCAACGACCTCTCAACAAGAGGGATAAACAATTAAAAAAAAAAAATAGAGGAAGAAATTTCGCACAAGCCTGCAGCAAATTAGCAGTCGATTGTTCGCATTCGTGCGCACCGTTTGTCATTTGTTTGTACACGCGTGTGAGCGCAAGTGTGCGTCAGCTTGTAGCTAGGTGAAGGCGACACCAATTGTCTGTACTTTTAGCAGCAAATACAGGTGTAGTTTTGGAAGGACTTTTTTCGCCTGCATATAAAATAAAATACCAAACAGCCGTTTCACATTTAGTTTGTTGGGTTTTCTTTAGGCAACTTATTTGCAAGGGAGAGGCCATTTTTCACAATTTCAAAGAAAGTTTCTTAACTTTTCAATTACGTCACGAATATTAACCAAAAGACTTTGAAACAAAAAATTAATAATATTTTTTCATATTTGTACTCTTCAGAATTAACAAAGTGATGGTGGAAATATTATATTAACTTAATTAAAAATTTATGACTGAATGCCATGTGTAAAAGCACCTTTATCAAAATTGCATTAGGCTAAATGGAATGGACTTGTTTGAACTTTGAAGCACGTCATGCAAGCGCGATGTTGCTATTTTTTTTCCAACGTTTTACGAGCGACGTGAGCGCACGTGTCCGCGTGACCTACACACGGCCGGACGCGACGAACGTGTCATTTATGTCGCATTGCAGTGAGTTAAAGAGCATTCGCGGGCGACGGACACACTCGCAAATAAATTCATCAACGCTCGCGACCTGATAAATGGCGACCAGTGCATTATGCACCGACACGAGATTGCTAATATTATTATTAACACCACTCCATACGATCAAGACGGAGCTAATTATGCTCTCAGACGTCTAAGGGCGGTGAAGTGTGGGTGATGTGCCCCCAGGCTAAGCTTCATTTGCATGCGAAGTGCAGGTGTTGCCAAATCCCTGACGCAAGTCTCTCTTGCTAATTTTGTTATCCTGCCTGTATTGCTAATGCTGACTCTGAACACCGAATTCAAAGCAAGGCAATTTCAATTGTAATGTGGCGAAATAATTGTATCTGACGTGAAAAAGTACCGCTTTAAAACACCATCTTTTATTATTTTATTTTCTGATAATATTTTGCTATTTCAATCAAATTTATTTTTTAATTATTGAAATAATATCAAATTTTCTAATAAATTTAATTTTTTTTAAATATAATAAAATTTTCTCCAAAGTTATTCTCTCTTTGTGCGGTATTTCCTCCTCATTAATAATAACACAAGCCTGCATGCAGAGTAGGAAGTTTTCAAGATTAATTAACGAGGCAAAGTTTGCTTTTTGCGTAAATCATCTATCTCTCTTATCCAACTAAATCAGTTTCCGTTAAACTTGCTACGGAGCTCTCGTTCGCCGCTTTTCATTACGTGCATTAACGCCGGTGCGCCTCTTCGTCTTGCTAGGTTGCCTCACACTCTGTGGGCGCCTGGCGTATTATACTCGGCTACAAAGTTTGGCCCACTGGAGAGCGAGAGAACTCCTTCGGAGTAAATTACGCGAAGAGCCGAGGTCCGGCCTGAACAATCCGGTCCGCCATTTCCTTGCCGAGTACTGATTTTATTGCATCGGGGTTGAAAATTATTCACAGGGGTGCAATTTGGTAATTTTGAATATGCAATCAAGACGTTTTATAAACACAAATTTTTAAAATTCAGTGATGTAAGAAGGAAATAATTTTAAATAAATTGAGGGATAATTTAAATGCAAAAAATTATTATTTTATCAAATTCAATTATAAACAAGCAAATAATAAATATATTTTATTTAATCTAATTACAAAAAAAATCTTTTTTAAATTTGTACTTGGAAATGTTCACTTAATATTGAATTTGCTAAGACAGATAATTTTCTCCTCCTCCTCCTCCCACCAGTTCTTTTAAAATTTAAAAAATTAAATTTATAAGAAAATTGATTTACTTCTTTAGATTTGAACGTTCATATTCAGAGCTCGTCATTAACGAGCGAGTTCGGAAGTCTGCGCACACATCGCTGAATTCAACCCTTGGCAAATCCACCGCCGCCGCGCCGCATCGAGCGCCCTTTGCAAAAAAGAAATCGTACCTTCTGCTCCGCGTTGTTGAATCACGGGAATTATTTTATTACCATTCATTAAATTGATTCAGCCGCTCGCATCACATGGTAATATTTCACGAGCCGCTGGGCTCGCCCGATTTGAGGCTGCTTTTTATCGGCCGTTGCGTCGCTCCACACGTTTTCGTATCCACCATACATTCTCAACGCTCCGCTGATTTTTTTCCCGCACCACGCATCCGTTCGCCTTTGGATTCATATTTCTAATTTCCGCTGCGGGAAAATTGAGCAGGGGAAGTTCGACAGACGCTTTTATTGGATGCTTCATTTTAATATGCTGAGAAGTGCAGATAATTGATATTGTGTTTGTGAGAGATAAAATTAGTAATAGTTTTTTAAGACTGAAACCAGAATTTTGAAATTTATATATTATAAAAAAATTGAAAAAAATTCTAAATTTTAATTAAATAGTTAATTTTATTATTTTATAAAAATATTATCCTTAGTGCAGAGAAAAACTATCATTTACAAAGAATTTGTCCCTATTAAAAAATTATATTTTTTTGCAATTTAAAAAAAAATTATTTGGCATCAACACTGAATTTTCTTTTTCTGCAATTTATTCAGAAATTAAATCAATTTGAAAAATATATATATAAACAATGAGTGCATTAGGAGATGGGCTGCGTGAATAATTAACACGGCGGTATTCATTTGCGTGGCTCAAACAGCGTTAGGCTCTTTGGCCCCTGTTTGCCTCGCAAACTATAAATCCCAATTCCAAGTGGACGCAAAACGCAACTAATCCCAGGTGGAAGAAATATGATTAGCCCTGTTTCCCGCTGTTCCGATCGTAAATTAACTGACTCGACGTCTCGTTTGTTGCAGGAGCAAGGGGGCGTGGCGTTGGTGGCCGCAGGAAGTCCAGGTTCGGCCGAGGGATCGCCGGGACTCGCGTCGCCCGCCTGCGAGAAGCGAAAGGCCGAGGAGGACACCAGCAGTGACCTCAAAAAGGTAGGTGTCCCGCTTATTAAGATTCATAATAGGGATGGGGTGCGGTCATTTTTAGGCGCAAAATCAAGGGGTCGGAAAGCAAAAATTTATCACATATGCTTGTAAGGCGAAATAAATCCCTGGAAAATTCAAGAGGATTGTAAATAAATATTTTGTTATTTATTAATATTAAAAAAAGCATCACATTGAAAAACCATTATTTAAATTATTTTTATATTTCTTTACTTAATATTTTAATTTAATACGAATATAATCCATATTGTAGCATTTTATTTAAGCATGTAGATCATGTGAATAATGTTTAATTATTACTGCATGGTCATATTCTCATATTTATTTAGAAATAAATTAACATAATTTAACATTTACAACCCCTATCAATTATTGTACGCAAAGAGTGACCAACAATAGCTTGATTTTTATCATCTTTGAAAGATTGTTTTACATTATTTTAATTTATTATGAAAATTAATTTCAAAATGACGTAGAATAACAAAACCAAGATAAATTTTAGAAGCACTTAAAGGTGCCGCTTTTTAAAATTCAGTACCTTTTTTTGTTATAAGTTGCAGCATAAATTTCAGAAATAAGCGCTGGCACAAAAGCCCACCCTAATTTCCCCGCTCTTTCTGCACCCCCACGGCCATTAACTGGTGTAAACACGTTTCCAGTCTCGGTATTAACAACTCCGAAAAAGAATTTTACGGCCCCCGTAACGAGCAAATGAGCGGCATAAATCGCCACACCGAATTATCATTTCGCACACGCGCGCCCTTTAAAATAGTTCCTGACGGCGAGAAGTTTGCTGAAAAGTACTTTGCACCCCTGCAAATGCAAATCAATTTCCATTGTAATTACAAAATATGGTGCACGCGAAAAGTTTCCCGAGAGATAAACACGAGTCATGTCTAGATTGCGTTATGAGAATGCAATTAAGGAAGCCAGCCACACACTCGGTTCGCTCGCTCTTGATTGCACATCAGCCCCCGCGTGTGACAGCCTGCATTAGGCTTTGTGCATGTTGGGCTGAATAAGCAGCCGACGCCGCGTCGGAGCTCTTTATTAGGGCCAATCACTTGGCTGCACCGCCGACGCCGCCCTACAAAGGCTCCTCGATGCACCCGTCGGGATTTGCGGCTCTTTTTTGCTCTTGTTGAGCCTTTTAGAGGCAAAGATAAAGACACGGGTTCGTTACACAGTGGCAGTTGGTTGTGTACGTAGCAGATCCACGGTCGTACACTGCATTACTTGATTGCTCGGTGCGGAAAATGTAAACTTTGCTCCTTTTGTCAGACGTACATGTAAGTCGAGCAATAGGATCAGACGAAATATTCCTTTTCAATCAATGATCCGCTCCGAATAAAATTGTATTAAAATAATACCACCCCTTGACTCAAATTTCAATCTATTTCTGAAATCTAAAATTGTAGTCATTTAAAAAAAAATAAACAAAAGTAACAAACTTTTAATTTATTATAATATTTATGTTTGTATGGTCGTGAATTTTCTAAGCTTTTGGTTGGCGTAAGGACTAGAATTATTTTTCAGACCTTCAAATATTCATTTTCCTGTTCAAATCACGTTGAGAAATCTGGTATTGAAAAACGTGATTTTAATTTAAATCAGATAAATCCGTTTATTTAAGAAAATCCCATCGTTAAAATTAATTTCACAATTAATTAATGAGGGATTCCCATTTGGCTTTTGAAACCAATTTTTAAAATGCCAACAAGCGTTATTAATAGCTGTAGAGAAGAAATATTTCTCCCATTTTTACATTTCCATAAGCTTATTAAATATTTAATCGGCTTACACTCTTCACAAATGAGAGAGGCAGCTAGAAAATAAACAATAATGCTAAAATCAGTACAGTATGACAAAGAACTTCAACTTTTGCATAAAATTGAATCAGCAAAATAGGTCAGTCAAAATATTGATTTCATACGTCAATAATTACGAACAATATCATATTTACTCATATAAAATATTAACTCAAAATATTGAGTTTTTCAACTGTTTAAAATAAATAAATATGAATTAAAAATTTCAACACTTTTCGTATTATTTAGATGAATTTGGAAAAGTAACAAGTGCATTATTTAGAGAGTAAACGTTGGAAAGGAGCACTAATTTTCCCAGATTTCTTCAGAATTTCTGCTCAGCTCTCCCGGGAAACCATCAAATCGTGGCTGCAAGAGAGCGTCCCATTTTCTGCGGGAACAGGTGCAGCAAAACATAATATACGGCATTAACCTGTTGGAGTATTGGCAGGCAGTAAATTCCAAACATAAATATGTCGCTCGGCCGAGCGTGAGCTCCGGCGGTGCAGCTAGGGCAGGCAGTACGTTGCAACTTCCATTTTTCCGGACGAAATCATATTAGACGCGGGGAAGTAAAACTATAAATATCCTGGGAAAGCCGCAACGACGCCGCCTGCAAACAGGAAAAAGCACTCGACGTGCTCCTTTGAAGCGAAAATTGTCCAATTCCTATAGATTTAAAGCTTTTTGGGCCGGAAAGGTGTGTTTTCGCAATGGCCAGAGTACCTGTGCTCGGACGAAACACGTTGGAAAAGAAAGAGGGGAAGAAAAAAGAAAGTCTGAGTGAAAAGGAAGAAAGTTTCCCGAGCGTGTGGGTGGCAGAGTAATAAGGACAAGTACTACTTTTGCCGCTCTGCCTGCTGAGTAGATTAAGACTTGTGCGCCACAAAAAGGCGGAGCAGGCAGTTTGCTACGAAACTGCACTCGGGACTCCATTTGCGGAGATTCATGGCACTGCGAAATCGCATTCCGAGTTGCTTTCCCTTCGCCCGAACTCTCACGCAGGTGGCACTAAATGCGGCTAAATGCATTAAAGGCGTCTACCTATCAGGATTTAAGTGAAAATCTAGCCGCAACCGTTGCTAATGGCAAATGTAATTTTACCTAATGGCCAAACAAGGCTACAAAAACGAATATATCAAAGAGCAAAATGGAAAATTTTAACTAAATTTCTTACAAAGGTAAGAAAATTATTATTATTATTATTATTATTGCTATATAGCAATTAATTATTTAACATTATTTTTTTATATTAAATATATTTATTTAAATTTATTTTACATGCATGTGAATTATTTTTAATCTGAAAGAGTACAATTATAGTTTTATTTAAATATATATTTCCCCAAAAATTTCATAAAAAATAAATTTGATTGATGCAAGAGAGGAAAAATACTTAATGGACAATTAATTTTCTTGAACCATGGCCGACTATTGAATAACGTAATGATTTAATGTAACAAAACTTAAAAAATAATTCATTTGCTCAAAATCGATTGATAAAATGAAAATCCAGATTTCGTAGCTTCTCTGCTTATCACCCTTTTAGGCTTTTAAGTCAATAATTTTGACTCGGCGGAAGAGCACCGGGAGGCGTGCTCGGAGGGAAGGAGCATCATTTCTTGCTCGTCTCGCTCTTTCCCTCTCAATCAAAATGCGATCCCCATCTGGTGATGAAGATCAAATGCCGAGGCCATTTATTACCCGACGTGCGCGCACGTGTGTGACTTGAATTAATAATTAAGCGCACGCCTCATCCATCCTCTCATCATCTCGGTTGCGACTGACTGAGTGAGGAACGGCCGCACACGCCTAATTTCGCTCCCGGGACGTAAATTATTCACAAACGGATGGACAAACGTGGAACCGCAAACCCGGCGGAGAGAGGCCCAGGTGCAGAAACGACAGTTCGCAAAAATTACGCGCGTCACGTGCCGCATTTTCTTCGAACTGGCACATGACCAACGAAACAAGGTCTCAAAAAACATATAGCATTAAATTTTGTTTTTCTTTTGCAGAAAAGGTCGAGGCCGAGTTATTTTTTTTCTTTGCATTTTATTGCCAGGCGAAACGACGGTGTTTAGGAATAGCTGGCGTGTTTTCGCCGTGTCGCGCGCGCCCTCCCTTTCTTATATCAATCTTATTTAGTTAGTAAACCCATCACACTTCTCTGCTCGAAAGAGGCTTTTTTTCTAAAGTACAAAATCATGTAGCACATCTATTAAAATAGGCCGTGCCGCACGCTGTTGCTATAAATTATTTGCAAACTCACTGGGAAATCGGTAACGGTGCTCGCAAAGAATTCAGCCCCAAGGAGAGAACCACTTTAAACTCGACACAATCCACTTTATTTCAGAGTCAAAGAAACAGTGCTGATGTTTAACTTAATAAACTGGCAGGGGGATTTTTAAAAAGAAAAAATAGGTCACTATGGGAGGCAGTTGAAAAACGTGACTTAATTAATTTTTGGCTGTTAGATTCTATGAAATAAAATGACTTATGCAAAATATGTATAATATTAATTTTGTTTTTCAATAGTTATAAACCCCAGTTGCCAATGCTCTTCTTAAAGGTAACTTGTTTAGCCAACAAAAGCCTTTAATCCAAATAAAACGGATCATTATTCAAATATCAAAAATTTCTTAAATTGAAATTTTATTAAAAAAATACGTTTCAAAATTTCCTAGTAGTTCCTAATAATTTTTTAATTGCTGCTGTTTGAGAACACAGAGAAAAATTTTTTCAAGTTAAAATTTTATCATTTATTCTTATAAAAGCTACAGTTATTAACTAAACATTAGGTGAAGCTTGCGAAAAGTATTCAATTTTCATCCCTTTGACTCAAGTAATTACGCCGCCTCCATTCTTATGTAAATATAGACTCTTCTTTTTCTCAGCTTTTTCTTTCTCTCTTAAACGCAAAATTATGGAAAATCAGAAAGGAGAGAGTGCGTCTGGTATACTCATGGCCTTTTCCTTTTTCCTCTTTTCATTCTCGCGTCGGCGGCTGAGGAGAGAGGTCGCTAGAATTATCATTACATGTTCTGAGCATCCTTTGGTCCCAGAAGAACTTCTTGCGAATTAAAATGGCTTAAAAGCGTTGTTTGCATAAGAAACCGAGCGCACTTTCTAAAGGTAGACTATACGCCGCACCAACCACACGGCCCTGTATTTTGTTTT